CTCTTGCAGCACAAGGGCTGCACAGCTGTGCCAAACTTAAAAACACTAAGAGAAACTAACTACGGAAAGATGTGAACCTGAAGAAGGCCATATGCAAATAAAACTGGAGCCCAAAAAAGAAACTTCAGTGCGCCGTAGCTCTGCTCTGCCACAGCACACAAACAAGAGCGCAGATTCCAGCTCCTTCTTGCGCAACCCGAAGCTGCAGAGCCGGAAGTCGGAGCGCGGCCTGGGCTGAGAATGCAGGGTTTTGCTGAACTTCCTCCCACAAAGAACATTTGAAAAAATAACAAACACAGAAGACAGTAAAAGCGTGACTTTCATATAAACCATGATTCTGATTGCACAGAGCAGCAGATCAGCTCGCTGATATATGGAAGGGTGAAATACTTGCCAAACAAAACTCTTCCAGTTTCCAACCTAGATTTCTAGCTGCTTTGATTTGTTTAATTGTTTAATAGCTGTAACTTGAACTACAGCCACACTAAAGATTTTGGTCAGACCAGACGCAAGCTCTGCCTTCAGGAATGTGCCATGTCCAAATAACCACGGCCAATCACACGTGAAACAAGTTTCAATGTAAATGCAAGAGCATTTACAGTGGAGCGTGACTGCCGGTCAGTGAGCACCAGGCAGAGCTGCTCTTCTGAGGGCAGGCACCGGGGGAGAACCCAGACTTCTGGAGAAACCCTGTTAGAGTCCACAGATGAAGAAATTCCACCGGGACCTAAACAAACCTGAGCAGAGCCACAGAAGCTCCTTCTGCCCAATGGAGACGGCCCACAGGTGCTGGCAGGCAGGAGATGCTGCTTTGTGGGGGTGATGCCCAGAACACCACATTGTTGCCTCCTCCTTCCAGAAGGCTGAGATGCGTGGGCCAAAATTCCCATTTCCACGGCTCAGTGCTTTAAACATCACTTAGCATGGAAACACAGCAAACAAATCATAGGACCATCACCCACGTGGAGTTCAGACAGCTTCATAAAAACAGAATGGCACAGCCCATAACCTCCCTCATCCTTTAAATTGAAAAGAAAAAGTTAATCTTCCACTACACACAGGTAAACAAACACCCGTAGCCTAGTTACAATGTTTTTTGGAACAACTACACAGCTAAAGCAATTAGAAATGGCATATGCTGTAACAAGAAGTATTTTTAAGATGTTGTTTAACAATCTAAGGTTCCTTCCATAATAAGCTGGCAGAATTCGGGTACTCATTACTCATCTCATAGTAAACATTTTACCACACAAGAGATCTATCGGTGTGATAGAAGTTACTTTTAGAAAACTGGCCCTATTCTTAAAAAACAACCAATTAGTAGCTTATGCACAGCGACTGAAGGCTGAAAATAAAATACAGTGAAAGCTGCAGCTTCTCTTAAACTAAGAAGCAAGATTTCTCTAACTTAAAGGAATTCCTATTAAAAAAAGGTCAAAATAATAAGCAGCTTTCATACATTCATCAAGGCCAAATGGGATCTCCTTCTCCGAAACATCTTCATATAATCACATGAAATGGCTGTTCAGCACAAGGCAGAGTGCTCACACTTCTCATTAGAGCTGCAAGAGCTCAGAGTACACATCCATCCACACACCTTCAGAACAAGCAATGAGTATCCTGAATTGGCTCATACACAAAAATACCCAATACGGGCTCCTTCTCAATGTTGCAAGGATGATGACTAACAAAAGATGGATAAATTCCACAGCTCTGCTGCCTTTTGGAGAGATCTCTTCCTTTCAGCTAAACGAGGCTACAGGCAGCCTTCGCAGGACCACAGAAACGCTGTCACCTCCAGCAGCCCAGGCAGCAGAACCGTGACCAGCAGCACTAGCCACAAGGCTCCAAGCAGCTGTGTAGGAGTTATACAGTTGGAACAGTTGGAAGCAAAACAAGGCACCTAAGTGAGCAGAGCAGCAGGAGGGGTCCCACCACCACCCAGATCTAGGTGCTAATGTCAGCTGTTCAGAGACAAGCAGGTTGAAGCAGCAGGGCTGTGCTTACACGTTCAACTCGTTAGGCGACTCTGGGAGCATCCTACTCACTGCTGGGGGTTTTATGGGTTGCTGCACAGCAAACACAAATAAAGATAGCCAACAGCCTTCTAACATTAACTTGTCACAGCCATTTCAGCCAGCCATGCTAAAGATGAGACCCTCAGTAATTGCTGCTGGTGAGGAGGAGGGGGGTTGATAAAGCACTGTTTTCTTCCCTGTTGTGAATGAATCCTGCCCACCTAGCTGTCAGCATGCAGATTTTATTGCAGTTCAGAGCTACATTTTGAGGAAGCAAGTATAAGAAGGCAACATCCATTTCCTTCTTTTGTTCTTGACATTAAAAATAATAGTTAGCAAATTTAATTTCCTTATCTGTTATTCACATTAGCTTGCATACTGCCTACTTGCACAGAATATCTGGGCACAGAATGCATACTCAAGTGTCCTGCTGTGCAACTCCCTTCCCCCAAGCTTTGTCAAATTATCGTTTTCCAAATTAATAATTACTTCTTGATGGCACAGAAGACTCCTCCAGGCAATCCTTCAAGCAGCCCCACATTGAACAGGGAAAGACCAAGAGAGAATCAGATACAAAGATGCTATCCACCGAATTCATACGTAATGATTTCTTTCAGAAGAATCCAAAAATCCTCAAACCAATGGAGTCTGCACTCATCCCCACGTACTTTTACCATTCTGACAGGTTCTATTCTAAGAACAGAGACATTCATTCAAAACTCTTCAGCAGCTCATCTCATAGTTCTCGCGGTGCAAGAAAATGAAGAAAAAAAAACCAAAGTTTCTTATAACCATCCCATAATGAACCTGTCAGGAAAAAGCAAGCAGGAGATCCCAAAATGTTGGCCAAATGACAAAGTTCTGAATGTTCACAGTCTGCATCTGCCATTTGAAAACAAAACCCGAGAACCAAGAAATTGGATATCTGAGGAAAGCCGTGCACTGCCACAGTGAGAAGAATGTCCAAACCATTTAGGGCGAGTATTAAAAAATATCACTTGGAGCTCCTTTCTGTTCGAGTATTCGTAAATGCACAGATGAAGATGACACACAGGGGCTCTGAGTTGTTTTGCCACGGTGCTGGGCACCCTGCTCTGTGTCCCCCTGCTCAGGTAAGGGTTGGACCAGGAGGACCCAGAGGTCCCTTCCCACCTCAACCACCCGCAATCCTGCAATAGTGCACAGAGCTGCACACCCCTGGTTACTAATCCAATCGTTATTTTTCTGCTCCAGTCGACACATACATCTATTACTTTAAAACATCCTCCTGACGTTTAGAGCTGGCAACTTCACAATCTGCAGAAGCATTGCTTTCCACTACAAAAGGAAACAAACGCTGCTCACACGCATGGACACTGAAACATTCTTCCCAAAAAGCACAGGAAGAAACAGCTTTTTTTTTTTTTTTCTACCAGTACTGCCTCAGATAAGCAGCACGGGATGCACATGCTAAACAAAATCCCAGAACAAGACCTGACACCAACTGAAAGGAGCAGAGATTACTTCAACTGCTTGGTTGGAGCTTCACCCACTCGCATTTTCTTACCCTGGCACTCAGAGTCCACCAAGGGGAAAAAACATTTTATTGTACATGAATCCTCAAGCAGTAAGAAATGACAGAGCACGAATTACGATCTCCTCATTCAGGGCTGGTTTGTCAGGCACAGCACTGACAGAAAAGTGTTCTTACCACATCTAGGACTAAAAGCAAACCATAACTCCTGCATCGGGATGTCTTATTGAAATGACAGTGTTATTTTTAAGTAGTAATAACGTAGAAGTGATGAGACACATTCTGAGCACCTAATTGTCCTTTAGCACCAACACCGCCCGGAACGCTTATCAATCCATCAGACTTCAGACTAGAACTGAACAGATACAGCACACCTTTGAAAACAATATCTGAACCAGAACCCGAGAGGATCAAAAGCCATCTGTTCTTCTCACAGTCTCAGATTCAACAGCTAAAACAAAACACAACTGTGCAACGTGCTGCAGAAGCCTGCACACAACCACACTCGCTCACACAGCAGACTCCTGTCAGCCCTGCGGCAGCGCAGGCTACAAGCATAAACTACCTGCTCACTTCTGCTTACAAGGAATCTCTTTTGCAAAGGACAATCTTTTCACGCCCCACCACCTCCCAACTCTCTCCCTCCCATCTCCCCCTCCTGCCAACTCTTCTCGCTGTGAGTCTTCACCAGGATTTCAAGACGGCAGAAGGTTCCAACATACAAGCAGCCTCTCCAGGAATCAACAGGACTATTGCATTGAAGTCGTATTAAAAGTTGCCGTGCTCACAAATGCAAGGTGGAGTCAGAGCCAGAAAAAACCCACGTTGTTACATAACGCTCTGTAAGCATCATCTGGTGCTCAGCAGCTATCCAAGAGATTTATACCTTGGTACAAAAACTGTTAAAGAAAAGAAGCCACAACAGCTGAAGAACCACAAGTCTTCCTAAACTCGGATGTTCAGTCCATAAGGGATCATGGCAAATAGCACAGCATTCCTTCCCAGCACAGATGAGAAGACCTTTGTGGGCCTTACTCAAGGTTGTTGGAGTACTTCATTTTTTATTTTTTTTTTTAATCATTAAGCTCTATGTTTTGAGGGATTTTTCTGTGCGTGTTTTTTGTTTTTTTAAAGTTAAACAGTTGTGGAGTTTGTTTGCTTTTTTAAAGTTCCTTTTCCTAAGGTTCAATTGTTTCTTTTCAAACTCACCCCTTAAACATAACGGAACTTTGAACCATATTTAATGGCTCGGCTAAAGCAACTAATGAGCATTACGTAAGATGTCTCTCTGCATAGAACAATCTGTTCCCAAAGTTACCAAAAATAGCAATTCTCTAAACACTGCTGTGATGCAATATTTAACCAGTTGCTGCATTAGCAGCTTAATTCATCCATCTATTAAAAAGTCCATCTTCAAACACTATCACAGTCACAAACATTAACACAAACATATCACAACGCAAGCTTACCTAGGCTGGTAGGTTTTATCAGCTCATCCAACAAGTCGTAAAAAGGTAACTTCTGAAGTTTGATGTCGGGATGGACAGGGTGGAGCGCAGATGTGAGGTGGGGGAGTTCCAGTTCATGTTTAGGTCCCAGAAGCGAAACGGGGAGCAATGGTGACGTGGCGGGGTGGCCATCGTAACTGAGCTGTGGAATGGTAGATGGAGACAAAGCTGCTGGCATGGAGCTTGAGTGTACGCTGGAGAGAGATAAGTCTGCAGGTGTCATGATTTTCTGGGGGAACCTTCGCCTATAGAGTTCTTTGATTTTCATTTGTACAGCAGGACTGCAGCCAGCCTTTAACAAATGCAGTGCTTTCGTGAGAAGTTCGTGTTTCCGTCCGTGCTTGTTCCTCCCTGCGTAGCCCAGAAGTACTTGCAGCTCAGAAACTCTAAGGCTCATAACCATTTGCTTGAAAGAAACAAAACAAAAAATTAGTATTCAAGTTTCATCATCTCAAGCACTAACATTAGAATGTAGCTTAATCTTGTTAAGCAGAACATTCTTGAAGGCACACGACCGTTGCTATTCTTCCATTACTGAACTGAAATATAATGAGAACAGGACAAGATAGGTGCATCTACTTAGAAAGTCTGTAACGAGCAATTTTTAAAGGGATTTCCACTTGCCACAGGCAATTCAGGATAGCAACACTGGGGAAAAACTGAGACAAGGACAGCTTATCAGTACACGAAATAACACTGGGATGCATAACTATTTTCTAATCAGTGTTCTGCTAACATCTATAACGTTAACAATTCTAGAGGAATAGCAGCTAGAGGAACCAGAAGTCACGCACTGCCAATATCCAAGTCTCCACTACTTGCACTTGAAAGCTGTGTCAGCACTTAACTCCAGGGCCCTACTTCACTTTTAAGTCCCTCTCTCACTTTCGCCATGCAGCTTAACTATTCCATGCAGGTTCAAAGGAAAGGAGAGAAATGACTGGATCGAAGTTGAAGGAGGGAAGATTTAGGTTGGATGTTAGGGGGAAGTTCTTTACAAGGAGAGTGGTTGGGCCCTGGAACGGGCTGCCCAGGGAGGTTGTGGATGCCCCGTCCTTGGATGTGTTTAAGGCCAGGTTGGACGGGGTCCTGGGCAACCTGATCTGAATGTGTGTGTTTGGTGGCCCTGCTAGGCAGGGGGGTTGGAACTACATGATCCTTGAGGTCCCTTCCAACCCGGGTGATTCTGTGATTCTGTGACTGATGCTTAAAGAAATAGAAAGAGGTAATTATAATTCGAGTTGCCTAACCCCACATGATCATTACTGAGTTAAAGGAAACTCCTTGGGCTTCAATTTCCTCACTTATCCTCAATCTGTTCTCTCATCAGAGCTGCACGTTCTGTTTTGGCTCATGGAGCCCTTCTATTCAATTGCATCTTTATTTAAGCAGTTTTTCACTGTCCCCCCAATAGTTAATGGATCAAACCAGTAGGACTTGTAAACCGTTTCACTTCCCCAGGAACCGAGAAACACACTATGCAAAGCAGAGCAACCAGCAATCCCCTGTGCACACCAAGTGCTTCCCCATGTCAATCAGCAGCCAGAAAGCCAACTCACAAGTCTGCATCCTATTTCAGAACTTCTTTCAGTGCTTGTCAGTGGCTTACTCACCATAACACAGCCCATGACACAAACTGAAATGATATTCCTGCAGAATTCTGCATTTGCAAGAATTTCATGAAAGCAAAATGCCTAAAACCCACCGCTACCACCAGCTAGTTGGATCTTCCATAGGAAGAACAGGGGTGTCTTGGCAGAACAAGGCATTTCAGTTACACTCTGAGGCACTGACAGCTGAAAGGAAAGCGAAACAAACAGATCTGAAACACGCAAAAGAACACTGTAATGCTCAACAAACATTTCTCCAACAGAATGAGGAGTTACAGCTGAAGGGCTCTGCCTGTGACCATCACCATTTATAAACACCACTTCCTCAGCAGCGGTCTCAGTGTCACTCTGTTCTTGTACTGCTAGAAACTCGCAGGCCCAGCTTGCAAAAAAATGCAGAGGAATAAGAAATAATTGAGCTAAATGAGAAACTCCTGCTAAATTTTGGATGCTGTCCATCTCTCAACTTATGGAGAAGTTAGAAATAAGCACACAGACAGCAGGGCCCATCGTGCAGCCAGACTCTTGAACCAAAACAAATAAAATTCCTCATGTTTTCCCCACCCTGAAACATTCCTTAAAAAGAAGAATCACGAAAAACACTGTTTGCAATATTAAGAGCACTAGCAGATGCACCAACTGGAAATAGCCAATGAAGAAATGGCACTAGCAGTTTGTAGCAGAGAGCTGCCCCTACTTCTGGCTGTTTATCAACATAAAGTGCTTGTTCAGTTCTTCCTAATGCAGAAACAAGTAGAAGGTAAAAATATAAACAAAAATCGAGGTTGGTTCAAGTTAAACACTGATACCAAAGACTGAAGATTAGTTTGCAAACTGCAATTACAGGTAACCTGGTGTTACAGCCTAGAGTACAGGTAAATGTACATTCCTCCCAACTTCACACCAGTGCACAGAAGCGGGTGCTGTTTAATTTAGCTGCTCACCCGCTGTGGAACTGCGGCGCGAGGCAGCAACGTGGCTACAAGCTGGTTCCATGCATGATGAACCCTGCTACCAAACCAACGGGGTGCTCTGATGCTACTGTGCATTTTGGTACCTGTCATACTAAGGTAACAACTAAAGTCCAAGGAGGGAGGACAGCAGAAAAATTGTTCTAAGTGTGAAAGCCAGCTCTACAGAACCACAACTTATCTCAGTGTTGACTTGCTGTAGCCCTTGATAGAGCTCCGAAGGTAATTCTAATCTATAAACACCCATCTGACATTTCCTGCTCAACAGCACAACACCAGCACGTGCTCCTGCACGGAAGCTGTGAGTCACGAGGGCTGCCTGCCTGGCAGCATGCACTCCGCCACCCATGCGCCGTCCCCCAGGCCTTGGGTGCCACTTCCCTGCCTCACCACAGGTCACCCAACTGCACATGTCGGGCAGGCGGCCCGCAGAAGCACTGCATGAAGCCACTGCTTTCCCACCTCCCAGCTGCTTGTTTCCAAATCTGGGCCACGGCACTGGCAGCCAGATGGCAGGCACGCAGCCATTCGATCCTGCTCCCACTGCGCCACTGCTGCTGGCTGAGGAAACACAAGGATGTATCCTTCCCACACCTACTTCAGGTAACCAGTACGGTCTGAAAAAAAAAAATAATCAACAGCTTAAGGATGCTGAAGCAATCCATGGGCATCGCCCTAAGGCACCCACTGACTTCCTTCCTGCATCTGCTTATTAGAAAGGACGTTCTACCTACAGCTCTGTTTCAAGAGCTGCTGCATTTTTGGAGGTTGTACCTACATATCAGATACAAAAACTGTTCAAGTTACCCATCCAAAACATCTGGACACGTCTCAGGCTAACAGGAACACTTTTCTCTTTACAAAACCCAAGACACCCGCCGTAGGGCTACGAAACACAAAACAACAAGTGTGTTCAGTGCACAATGCAGTGTGTGTGCCCCGCAGCTCCTGAGCCAGTCCAACGCCTCCATCAGCAAACAGGCCACTTTGGAGAAGTGCACCCATGACACAAAATTTTTGTTTCACAATGCTATTTAGGCAGAATAGCCACTTTCCCAGGAACCTTAACTTCTAGGGAACAAATGCGTACAGAGCCATCAACATTAAGTGCCATTTACTGCTACTTCTGTTCAAAAGAAAACAGCAGAGAGAAATCTTTATAGAATCTTCACTTTCTGCTCCCTCCTCTGCTTCTTTGGGGGAAGGACTTCCCTAGAAGGAAAGACACCTTGACCTGGGAGGTAAAAGCGAGCATAAGTAAGCTAGTTTTTTTGTCTGTCTTTTAACTAAATTAACAGGAAAGCATCAACAGGGAAGCACAGCAGACAGTACTGAAAACTAGTGACAAACAGCAGTCAGAAGATGCTGCCTACAAAGCAGTGCCCAACCACCCTCAGCAGCAGCACAAGGAACCCCAACAAGCAGATAATGCCTTCTACAGAGGGTTACTGCTCCAATAATCAGCCCCAGCATCAATCTGGAGAATTTAACAAGTTATTTCCGGATGCCTGCGATAACTTGAAGCTGTGAACAAGCTCCAAAACACATCCAAGAGATCTGCCAGGACAACAGGCAGCATTTGGCTGGGTACCATACCACACGGCGTGCCTAGAGCTATGCAACAGGTCCTCCTCAGCTCCCTAACCATCAACATGAACGCTGAAGGGGGGAAAAAAGGAAAATTGAACGCCTCACCCTAGTCTGACGATGAGAGAAGTAAAAGAAGAAACAAGATTCCGATTCTTTTTCCCCGAATAAAAGCAACCAGGAAGCATTAGATTAGTATGGAAATGGTCTTGGAATTAATCTCAGTATGCCTCCGACATCCAGCTGTAAAAATAGAGGAGAGTTCCTGCATGCTACAAGCGGCCTGGTTAACCCGATATAAATCTCTTCTTGAGAAGAAAGAGCTACACAAGCCCTCCGCACAGACTGAGCTCTTGGGCTTCCACACACCTACGATTTGTGAAAGTGACAGATCATAAAAGATGGGAATACTTTTACCTCTATGAAGGCACATTCCTGGGTCCTAAATTCTATTTGCAAGACTTACAGGAGGAAACTAAAAGGGCTCAACTGTATAAAATGAAACCAGCCTACCGAAAACCTACAGGAGGGAGTGAAACAGCCAATTCATGGGAGCTGAGGCCTCCACGACAGGCTGTAACTTCCTGCATTTGTCTAATGCAACCAAAATACTAAAGGGTTGAAGTCACAGTAATTCAAAAGGGAAGGGAGGCAAAAGCACAGAAGAACGGTCATAAATATGCAACACACTGCAACCTTTAGGGAGGCAATTGGTTTTCATAATGAGAAACTCAGCTGTCTCCCAGTGTGATAGATACAATGTTTAGGCAAGCGGGGCAGCTCTAAAAGAATAGGTACAAACCAATGGCAGGTACAATGTTATTTGCCTTTCACTGCATGCACAAGGAGATTGGGTTTCTCTGGCTTACAAGATACTCTATGTTTGCCCAGTTTATCCGTGCTGATAAAGAACATTTTACAGCCATATGACCAGAACTACACATTCACCTCCCTGGCATTAAAAATGGTTCTGATCCACAAAAAAATGCATTAAAATGACATTGGCTGCTAACGTCAGAATCAGCCTGGGCTGACCTACTGTTAGCATCTCTGCAGCTGTGGGCTTAAGGTCAGACTCCGCATTCATGATTTTCACTAGCTCCCATGCTAGCAAAGAAAGCACACGGCCAAGCTGAAGTCACCCTGTGTTTCTTATTTCAGTGAGCTGACAAACAACGAGCTTCCTTGCTACTAATGTTACAGCTGAGCATCTTCAACATAAACATTCCAGCCCTTGAAAGAACCCACCTCAGCTGCAAGCACCTTCCAATAGCAGGAACCCTCTCTGGCACTGAAAAGCGCGGAACTTTGCTCTGCAAGAGCTTCTGAGAGACTTTCAAGGTGAGGCTGGATCAGCCCTGGGGCAACCTGATCGAGCTGTGAATGTTCCTGTTCACTGTGGGAGAGTTGGACTAGACGGCCTTCAGAGATCCCTTCCAACTCTGAGGTTTCTATGATTCTATGACTCCGGCCAGGAGGTCCTGCAATTTGCTGCTGTCCTCACATGACAGCTGAGTACGCCCAAACCGCTCAGCTCTGCCCCAAACTCCACAGAAGCAGCAGTGCAAAGAACCCCATTAGAATCACCCAGGTTGGAAGGATGCTCCACGTGGCCAAGCCCAACCACCAACTCGCCCCACTGAGTGCCGTCCCCAAGCGTCACATCTGCACATCTCCCAAAAGCCTACAGGGTGAGGACTCCACCAGTGCCAGGCAGCCCACGTCAGTGCCTGCCCACCTCCCTAGGAGGGAATTCTTCCTGAAATCCAATCTGAACCTCCCTTGGTGCAACCTGAAACCATTTCCTCACATCCTATCGCTTGGCACCTGAGAAAACAGACCAACCACCTCCTCTGCTGTAGCCTCCTGGCTCCCAGTAACAACAAACAATCCAAGTAGACAATTTTTACTGCAATACTCTCATACTAAAAGTTCTCTTCTGTTTCGTTGTTCGGCGGTTGTTTGTTTGTTTTTTTCCTTTGACTTTGGAGTTTTGGGCTGTTTGTATTTTGCACCAATCTCTCCCGGTGGAGTAAAGGCAGCAACCTGCTGGTGCAGCGAAGCGGAGATCTGCTGAAGAAGAGGCGCAGCCCTCCATCATGTCTGTGCTGGGTTCGATTTCAAGTCACTCACGTTTTTATCTTAATCCATAAGAAAAGTTTTATCGCTCTTGAGAGACGGCACCCACTAGGTGAGCTATATTAGGACTTCTGCTATTAAATAAGGTTGCTGACAGCACTAATCTTCATTCCAGTTCTTGGAGACTTGAGGGGTTTTTTCAGCCACACTCAGACTTAATTGTCCCCAGCGTATTTATCCTTGCAGAGGGGAATTACTCGTACAGAGCTACGCACTAGCATCATTTTCATGACAAGTAATTGCAGAAATACCAGCTTAGAGCATCCCTGGATACAAAACAACGTGCCTCAAGACTAACAGCTTACACCTAGGGCTAAAAAGGAAGACAATTACTTTCAGCTATTTGGGAGAGGGTCACTGCCAGACAAATTTACTTTTTGTTAACAGCGTTCTTAACTAAAGCCTTTCAGCTGGCAGACAAGAGAGAATTCCTATGCCATACACTTCAGTGGAGCCCACACGGGCTGCAAACACAGCTGTCCCAAGAGCTGCTAAACACACCATGTCGCATTACAGTCTCTAGCTGCTTACACCACAAGTCTGCATCGCTAAAAATCACAATATATCTTGTACAGCATTCAGTAAGAGTCTGAAAGATCACCTCGCAGTTTCAAAAGGATCAAGACACTACTGGAAACCACACTGGGCAATCATTCATTCCTAAGCCCAGCAATCTTCAATTTAAAAAAAAAGTACACATGCATTTTTAAATTTGCAATTAAAACACAAAAGCAATGGTTACATGAACAATGTGACTGATTTGAGATTTACAGATTGGGAGTCTGCTAAACAAGAGCAGTTAGCCTTCGTTTTTCAGCTGAACACCAGAGATTAAGCTCTGGTTAGTTTCTAAATATCTGAACTATCTGCTTGAAGCACACTAGCTTTGGGAAGCCAACCCAGAAGGGAAGCTGGAGAAGAATGTACCTGGAATTCAATGAATGCACTCACACTGCAGCAAGGATGGAGAGGCAGCTTCCACAAGAAGCTTAGAGAAGCTCTGAGCAGCAAAGCACAGCAATTCCAGGACTTACATTCTCACTGTCAGTTCTGATGTTTGCTTGCAGCAGTTATTCAAGTCTCTGCTGCATCAACAGATGTTGGTTCCTCACATAGCTAACTTAAGCATCACTTGATTCAAACAAATTAATGCTATAATACATGCCTGCTTTCCTTTCCTCCAAGGAGATATATATATATATATATATATATTTTTTTTTTAAGAAAAAAACACTTTTCTATTCCTTTACATTACAAAACTGCAAAGTGCTCTATCCTGCACATGCTGTACATTAGCACCAAGTACTGACGAGTTAGTTGTCCACTGTAAATAAACGAAGTTTTTCTACTTAGCTCGCTTGATGTAACACTTCGGGATATGAAATTACACAAACAGATGCTCAACACATTCTCCAATAGGCTGCTGTTCTGTTTGGGTCTTTTTTCCTCAGTGCTCATTTTCCTAGGATGCAATACAAGATACAGGCTGAGTCCTCACTAACTTATCCTGTCATCCAAAGAAGTCTTAACGATCATATTAAACTTGGGTAGCAATTTGAAAACTATGGAACAGCAGGTGGAAGCCAGTATCTAATTGATCCTCCCTTCCCTTGGAAGCAACCAGTTATGCCCTCAGAGAAAGAAAATTGAGTAACTGGAATCGTCCGTCCACAGCTCTCATTAACGTAAAAAGCAATAAAGAGAAAAGCTAAGAAGGCATCTTCTGTTAGACTTCAAAGCAGCCCTCCTCAGGAAGATCCACCTGAAAAACACATTCCCAGGCTTTGTGACCTGCAGGACCCACACACAGCCACGGGCAGCAGCTGAGAAGCTGCGAGGCAGAGCCACAGCCACACCAGCCCTGCCACTGTGAAGCACACACCAGCACCACCAGTGCCTCACCGGGGGCATGGAAGCATTTGGTACTGCTTTCATCTGTAGCCACTGGAGTATAAAAACAACAGTCAATAAATCCAGCCAGAGGAAAAAGGGGAGAGGGAGGAAGTGCTGGAGGAAAGAAGAATGGAAGGAAGAAGAACAGGAAAATTGAGAGATCAGATAAAACATCATGTATGGGAAACACTTGTGATTTATCATTAGAATATCATGATTGCCAAAAGGGGAAACGGAACCCAAACAAAATAAATCTCCTCAC